TCTCTCTCTCTCTCTCTCTCTCTCCCTCCCTCTCTCTCTCTCTCTCTCTCTCTCTCCCACTCCCACTCTCACTCCCTCTCCCTCTCCCTCTCCCTCTCCCTCTCCCTCTCCCTCTCCCTCTCCCTCTCCCTCTCCCTCTCCCACTCCCTCTCCCTCTCCCTCTCCCTCTCCCTCTCCCTCTCCCTCTCCCTCTCCCTCTCCCTCTCTCTCTCTCTCTCCCTCTCCCTCTCTCTCTCTCGCGCGCGCGGGATGAAGACTTCTCTTGGCGCATCTGGATTTTTTTTATTGTTCTTTGGCTTATTTTAGTTGTTGTTTTTTCTTGTGGGGATAATAATTCAAGGCGTCGTAGTCTATTGGGTTTTGCTAATCTCGCTGTCGGAAGTGTGTGTTTTTTTATTTTCAATGACAATGTCCATACGATTTTTCTTGTTTCTTCTTCCTCTTCTCTTTCTTCTTTTCTTTCTTTCTTCTACTTCTTCTGCTCTTTCTTCTTCTAATGTTTCCAGCTTTTGATATTCGAGAATGACTGAATGAGCTTTTATCAGAAAGTTGTGCTCATTTGGGGTTCCTTGCAGATTTATGAAAACGCGTTCGAGGATAAAAGAAGGGAAAAAACAGAAAAAAAAGCAAAATAAGAAAAAGAAAGAAAAAAACGCGGGAAACGTTTACACCAGCGCGTTCGTATCGCTGCATATGCACATCGCGCTATCTTCTTCCTCCTTCCAAATACACCAAAACAAAACGTAATACCTACGACTAAACGACATACCGCTACTTGAACACCGTATAAAACAATCTTTCACCAAAAACTCCAATAAAAAAACACCAGAAGCATTAGCCACGCGTCCCACCCGCCGAGGGATCCGAACACCGACCCCGCCTTCCGCTTCCGATGGCGTCCACGCGTCCGCCGCCTCGAGGGCCCAAAGAGCGCGGAATATTGAAGTCATAAATCCAAGTCTTGAGTATCTTTACCGCACATTATCTCGCGCCATTACCCAGCAGCTCAATGCCGGCCGACACTCACTTTGTTACCGAGAGAGGAATCTTATTGATTATGCAATTGGCCGCACTTTTTACACGGCGCGCTGTTGCTCACCTGGAGTTCCTCCAGAAGGCGGCCATGTTGCTTGTCGGGTAATGTTGCAAGGGAAGGCCACGTTGTTTTTCTGAGATTATTGCAACCAATATACAGTACGTATTGCTTGCCTTAGACACCGGTAAAAGACATGCCATGTTGCTTGTCTCAGAATAACGCAGCGAACAGGGCGGCCACGCTTGCTTCCCTAAGAAACAAAACCAGCCAGCTACGGCGGCTCTTTTAAACTACTACAGGAAACGGCTATTTAATCAACGGAGACTACTGCAGCGGCCAGCCATGTTGCTTGCCTTAACCTACTACCGAAAACAGCCATGTTGCTTGCCTTAACCTACCACCGAAAACAGCCATGTTGCTTGCTTTATCCTACCACCGCAGACAGCCATGTTGCTTGCCTTAACCTACCACCGAAGACAGCCATGTTGCCATGTTGCTTGCCTTAGACTACTGCACAAACGACCCATGTTGCTTACCTGAGGCTATTGCAGGGGCGCGACTTGGTGAGGAGGGTTTCGCATCTCGGACACTGTCTCTTCGTCCGCAGGAAGTTGACGATGCAAGATTTGCAAACTGCGAGATAGATTGAAGGAAGTAAATTAATGAGGTAATGATAACACATAGGCCTATAGAATCAGCATTTTTTCCCTCACCTTTTTAATTAATTTATTCACTAATTTCTTTTTATTTTATTTATTATTTTTTTATTTTGACGGGGAGGTCCGTATTTTGATTTTGAAATAAGGCAATGAACACATCCAATTAAATTTCATAAATGAATCTGAGTAAAGATACAACTTTGATAAATGCATTCCTTTTGAGAGCGATATATATCTATTTAGAAAATTAAAAAAGATTTAGAGAGAGAGAGAGACAGAGAGAGAGAGAGAGAGAGAGAGAGAGAGAGAGAGAGAGAGAGAGAGAGAGAGAGAGAGAGAGAGAGAGAGAGAGAGAGAGAGAGAAAGAGAGAGACGAGATAAACAAGCAGAGAGGGAGATAAATAGAAAAATGGAGAAAAACAAACCAACAGACAAATAATAAAAGAAAGAAAAAAACAAGTCTCGAATGCATGAAAGAAACAGACAGACAGATGAAACCAAAAGAAGAAGAAGAAGAAGAAGAAGAAAAGAAAAAGAAAAAGAAGAAGAAGAAGAAGAAAAAAAAAGAAAAAGAAGAAGGAGAAAAACAAGAAGAAAAGAGGGAAAACACACACTCAAAACACACACAAAACAAACAACCCTAATCCCTCTAGTACTCACAGGTGTGCATACACTCGATGATGGTGGTCGCGTCGACGAAGTAACCGAAACACAGAAGGCAGACGAAGTGAGGGTTCAGCTCTGACATGCTGACACTCACGCCTCCGGACACTTTTGGGCCGCCACCCTCCGAGGACGCCATAGC